ACTCACCTCAGCCTCCCAAAGGCGCAGGATTATAGGCTGAGCCACCGAGCCCGGCTAATACATGATTTTTTATCAATAAATTCTGGGGCTGGGCATAGTGGCTCACACCTGTAATCTCAGCACTTTGGGAGGAAGAGGCAAGAGGACTGCCTGAGCTCAGAAGTTCGAAACTAGCCTGGGCAACTTGGTGAGACCTCGACTCTACAATAAATCAAGAAAAATTACCTGGGCGTGGTGGCACACACCTGTAGTTCCAGCTACTTGGAAGGCTGAGATGGAAGGATCATCTGAGCCCAGCAGGTCAAGGCTGTGGTGGCTGTGAGCTTGGCACTGCACTCAAGCCTGGGTGACAGAATGAGACTCTGACTCAAAAAAATAAAATAAAATAAATAAATTCCAAGTTTTTGGGGTCCCCCTCATATCTATTCCATTGGGTCTGTCTCTGAAGGACCCCAATACACCTTTTAATTCTATAATTCAGGTGGGTTCCACAAGTGATCACATGACCTGTATTTGCCTTTGTTTTGTTTTGAGTTCTAGTCTCACCTCCTAAAGTGGGATTACAAGCATGAGCCACCAAGCCTGGTTGTGATCTCTATTTGGTCAGAGGCATAGTGATTCGGATAGGTAACTGAGTAGGACCAATGGGTGTCATATCCAAGATTCTAGCTGGGAGGATCTGGAAAGAAATCCTCTATACAGGGGTTGCTCACCTGTAAGCCCATAATCCTGAAGTTATTTGTGGTTATCTTTGCCACCACACGGGAAGAATCTGATTATTAATGAAGCAAATGCAGAGGAAAAGATAGGAAGAGAGAAAAGTTCCTAATGACATTATATCAGATTTGTTTGGTTTTTTTTTTTAATTAGAGTCTCACTCTGTCGCCCAGACTGGAGTGCAGTGGCCACTCCCGGCCACTGCAGCCTCGACGCTGGGCTACGGCGATCCTTCCGCCTCAGCCTTCCAAGTAGCTGGAACTACAGGTGCGCACTACCACGCCCAGCTAATTTTCTTTTGATATATTGTAGAGATGAGGTCTCACCAAGTTGCCTAGGCGGGTCTCAAACCTGCGGGCTCAGGCAATCCACTAGCCTCAGCCTCCCAAGGCGTGGGATTACAGGTTGAGCCACCGAGCCCCACCAGATTTGTTTTTGAATGGGAGTCTCACTCTTGTTGTCCAGGCTGGAGGGCAGTGGCACGCTCATGGATACTGCAGCCTCAACCTGCTGACTCAGGTGATCCTTCCACCTCAGCCTTCCAAGTAGCTGGAATTACAGGCACATGCCACCATGCCCAGCTATTTTTTTGATTTATTGTGGAGATGAGGTCTCATCAAGTTGCCCAGGCTGGTCTCGAATCCGTGGACTCAGGCAACCCTCTCACCTCAGCTTCCCAAAGTGCTGGGATTACAGGCACGAGCCACTGCGCCTGGCCTTGTTTTTTTATGAGTGAGAGTCTCACTCTGTCACCCAGGCTGGAGGCATACTCACAGCCATGGCAGCCCTGACCTTCTTGACTCAGGCAATCCTTCTGCCTCAGTCTTCCAACTACAAGTGGAAGTAGGAATCTCACTCTGTTGCTCAGGCTGGAGTGAAGTGGCACGTTCATGGCCACTGCAGCCTTGACCTGCTGGGCTCAGGTGATCTTTCCACCTCAACTTTCCGAGTAGCTGGAACTACAGGCATGTGGCACCAGGCCCAGCTAATTTTTTTATTTACTGTAGATATGAGGTCTCCTCATGTTGCCCAGGGTGGTCTCAAACTACTGGGCAATCCTCTAGCCTCCGCCTCCCAAAGTGTTGGGATTACAGGCTTGAGCCATTGCACCCAGCTCTATTTTTTATAATACAAAAAAATTAGGGCCAGGCACAGTGGCTCACACCTGTAATCTCAGCATTGTGGGAGGCCTAGGTGGGAGGATCACTTGAGCAAGGAGTTTGAGACCAGCGTGGGCAACATAAGACCTCAAATGACTTTGCAGATTAAGTTTCCAACACCTGAAATTGGGGGACACAGTTAAACCACAGCCGTGCCCATCACAGGGTTGTGGGGGTAGTGAATTTCTGCTGTGTGAATATGATTGGTATGTACTGTGCCCTGATGCTCTTTCTCTATGACACTCAGTGACACTTAGCCCTCTGGGTCATGACTTCTGAATTTCCCCACCCCTAGGCTGCCTCCTCCAGACCCATGATTCTGAAGGCTATTTTGTTGAGAGCCCAGCCTGAGTAAAGTATCTGTGTCTGACCACAGGGAAGTGGTCCAATGAGGACAGGGTTATAAACCATATCCTTAAGGGTTACGGGACCAGGCTGCTGCTTTGAATTCCAGCGCTGCTGCTTACCAGCTGTGTGACCTTAGACAAGTCACTGTTTCCCCTATCTAAAATGGGATGAAATAGCAGGGTGCAGTGGCTCAAGCCTGTAATTCCAGCACTTTGGAAGGCTGAGATGAGAGGATTGCTAGAACTCAGGGGTTCGAGACCAGCCTGGGCAACTTGGTGAGATCATGTCTCTATAATAAGTCAAAAAAAGTAGCCGGGCGTGGTAGAGTGTGTGCCTGTAGTTCCAGCTACAGGAAGTTGGAAGGCTGACGCGGAAGGATCACCTGAGCCCAGCAGGTCGAGGCTGCGGTGGCCATGAGTGTGCCACTGCACTCCAGCCTGGGCAACAGAGTGAGACTCCGACTCAAAATAAATAAAAATAAATAAGGCTGGACACAGTGGCTCACGCCTATAATCCCAGCAGTTTGGAAGGGTGAGGTGAGGAATGCCTGAGACCACGGATTCCTTTGAGACCAGCAACTTGATGAGACCTCATCTCTCCAATAAATCAAAATATTAGTTAGGTGTGATGGTGCATGCCTGTAGTTCCAGCTACTTGAAAGGCTGAGGCAGGTCGGGTTCGGTGGCTCAGCCTAAAATCCCACACCTTTGGGAGGCTGAGGTGAGTGGATTGCCTGAGCCCATGGGTTCGAGACCCGCCTGGGCAACTTGGCG